TGGAATCATAGAATGATGGAATCATAGAATTAACTGGGCTGGAAGAGACCTCCGAGATCATCAAGCCCAACCCTTGATCCAACCCCACTGTGATTACCAGATCATGGCACTGATGCCACATCCAGCTCCATCTTAAAAACCTCCAGGGATGGTGAATCCACCACCTCTCTGGGCAGGCCTGATCACTCTCTCTGTAAAGAACTTCTTTTCAATATCCAATCTAAACTTTGGAGACTTCTGTCTCCAGTGAGGGCACAGGCAGGATCCAGAGCTATGGCACGTGTGGGAATCACCACCTTTCTGGGCTCACAGCCCTCTGAGCCAGCAGCGCTTCCTGAGCCAGGGACCCCTGGGAAGCTGCTGATGGAGGGAGTTCATCCAGGATGTGCCCCTCAAATGGAATGGGAAAGTGAACACAGAGCTCAGCCAGGCTCAGGCTCCCACACTGCCAGCCCTGCAGCAGGCAGGGCCTGCCCAAGTGTGTTGCACTAATGCATCCACTGCCAACGCTGATTCCAGATGTGTGTGACTCCCCAGTCCTGATGGAAGAGAAAACCCACTCTGCTCCATGTCAGTGGCTGGGTGAGCATCCCTGCTGCACGGGGGGGCTGCAGGGGTTGAGCCCACACTGCCAAACACAAAATAACTCCTCTGCCTGACCTTCCCCTCCCTCCCTGCATCTCAGCATCCCCCAAAGACACATTTTTCCTCAGGAGGAGCAGCAGCAGTCACCTTCCAGGGGGTTAATTAAAACCAGGCTGCTTGGATGCCAAGCAGACATGGGACACATCCACCTGTGAATCCCACAGGGGAAGGAGAAAGAGCAGAAGGAGCCAGGATGGGAAGCAAGCACATTGCAAGAGATGATCTTCCAGCAGGGCAGGGTTAAGGAGCAGGATGAGAAGACCAGAGACCCTCTTTGGGGCAGAAAACACCCCACCATTGTCACTTGCTATAAATGCCTCCAGCAGCCCAGGGGTTAAAAATAATCGTGGTGAGCACTGCTGGTTTCATCAGCAGCCTGAACCAGAGGAAATGAGTGCTGATCCCAAAGCTGCCCCACTCGAGAGCTGGGTTACCCAACTTCCACCCAGCAGTGCCCAGCGCTGGAGGCAGAACAGGTCCCTGGCCTCAGCCCCCACTTCCCAGCCTCAGGATCTCCCACTTGCAAAAAAAAAAAAAACAAGCCCAATTCTGCAAACCTCCTCCTCCCTGTCCTCCTGCTGGCAGCTCAGAGGCTGCAGGAAACCCCAGCCTCAGTCACCTGCGATGCATCGGCTGCTCTTGGTGCTCAGGAGAAGGGATCAGGGGTTCCCTCGCAGACACAACCCTGCCAAGGTCCTCCAGCATTCCAGAGGCCCCAGGATGGTCTCCACGGGAGTGATGGCTCGTGGCTGGTGTGCACAGAGCCAGGAGGGAGCAGAGAGTGGCACAGTCCAGCCACGAGGCACCCGTGGGCTGCGGATGAGCTGCATCCTATCAACCAGCCCGAGGTCTGCTCTGGGTGTCCACCAGCACATCCAACCACAGGGCTCAGGAGGAACATTTCAGCAGTTTTGGCACGGGCAGGGCTGGAGCGTGTGCTCTGAGGCTGGGGCAGCGCCAGGGGCCAGCATCCTTCGGGGAAAACGCCTGAATCTGAGACAAGGCAGCAACAAAAACCATCCCCTTCCTCCTGCTGAGCTGCAATCATCGCAAACTTTGCCCCTTTGGGGCCCTGACCCCTCTCCCCTGCCCTTCACACCCCATCACGGCCCAGACAAAGCTGGTGTGGCAGAGAATCCACTTTACAAGACCTTGCCAGATTTAGCTTCTGGCCACCTCCAGCACCCAGAGGTTTGTTACAACGCTTTTGCTTTCTTTTCCCCCTTTTTCTGTTTAATTCCTGGAACTGCAGCACATCTCCTGCCCAGCGTGGATGATGCCGCCTCCTCCTCCTCCTCCCCTCTCCCACCAGCTCTGCTGGAACAGCAGCAACAGCCCAGCAAAACCTCCACGTCGAGCCATAACCAATGGCAAATTCCTGGGGTGAAACGTAATGTGCTGGGAAGCGCTTCCCCATTTCACTCGGGAAAACCGATCCGTTTGGCAGCAGAGAGGAGGAAAACATGCTTTGTTTTACAAATCCTCTCCCCAGCAGGAGAGACACTCCCAGAATTTAATATACTGACAGCTCTTGGCTGCCTTAACCACTGAAACTCCAGAGTATGGAACAAAAAAAAAAAAGTAAAAATAAAAGTGAGACGCTATATAACACTAGAGCCCATCCTACTCTGCAGCTGGTGGTATGGGGCACGGTGGAGCTGCAGTTCCCCCACCCAGGAGGGTGTGAGAGCAGGTTCCCATGCCTCAAGTGCTGGACACCCTGAATTAATTCATTCTTCATCCCCTCTTAGGGTGAGGCCCTGAAGCAGCTCCCTGTTGGAAAGCAGAGAAGATGCTGACAGGTAAATCTCAGAAGTCTCTTTACAGCAGAGAAACTGGACTCGGAGTTATTCAGCGCAAGAATCACTCCCATGAAAGGCAACTGGCTCCCTGCAGGTGCCTAGCAAGCTCCTGGTAACCCCAAACTCCAGCCTTAATGAAATGTTGAGTATTTCAGTGCGTTTCCACTCATCCTCCAACGTGTTTAACCTCCAAAAGCACCCCATGTGCAGCACCAAGAGGGCAACACTCCAGCCAAAGACAGTGGCGGACGGCACTTTTTTTGGGAAGGGGGTTTAATTTTCCAGCTCTGGGTGGTTGACAGCATTTACCAGAGCAGAAAGGAAGAAGCAGTGGGTATCTCCAGCTCCAGGGCCCGTAGCTGAACGAGCCTGGCTGTGCCAAAGGAACTCATACCCTCTGGAGCAGTCACTGCCAGCTCTGCATGCAGGAATAACAGCAGTGTTATTTTGAGGGCAGGCAGTGAGATCGAATTGCCTGCGCTCCAGAGACCGCTGCTGACCTCTCCAAGGAGCAGTCTGGAGGCAAGGGAGCCTGTCTGCTGTTCACATTTTTCATCTTTTCATACAAAAAGAAGTTTGCTGCTTCATATCTTAGTGATTTGTTTGCAACCTCCAAGTGTTCCTGGAAACACTGATTAATCCTTACAGGAGCCTGAAAAGAAGACAGCACCGCTCCTGCCTCAGGGAGGGGAGCAGGATGGATAAACTGGGTGAAATGCAAAAGGCCACGGTGGACACTGGTGCCAGTGGTGGGGCTGGAATGCTCATCCTGCTCAAAAAAAAAAAAATTATGGAGCACCTCCAAACGCAGGGATGCTGTCACCTACCCTCTCACTAGTATGCTGGGCTGGCTATAAAGCTTGGTGAAGTCAGAGGAAAGGCTCCCAGTGACCTAAATGGCTGGGATTTAAAAAATCTCAGCTGAGAGCTGGGCACCAGGTCACTGGGTTGGCTCGAAAAGCCCAGTTTTGCAGGAGCAGCATCCCAGGTTACATCAGCCAGAGCCACAGCCCCCCTGCACTGGACACCCTATAAATGGCTCAGGGGAAAAGCCTCTGCCCCACCAGGCTCATCCACCCACCCCTCTCCACAGGAGAAAACTCATCCTTCCCTCCAAATCCTCCCTTTCAGGCTGAGACATGGCAGGAGCTCAGCTTTTGGAGGCTCCCACTGGTGGGGAGCAAACCAAGTGTCCCTTGCAGCCACCCACCAGTGCACCTCTAAAACGTCCCCTCGCAAAAACCAGCTGGTGGAAAACCACAGCAATCGGGATTTGATCAGTGGGGCATCCCACATTCACTACCTGTAGGCAAGGAATAATACCACCTCATTAAAAACGTGCTCTGAGTCTATTATAGTATCTAGGACAAAGTGTTCCCTATTT